TATGAATTATGTGCATTGTATTTTATGAACTGATAGATTAGTAGTATTGTGAAAAAATATGCATATGGTGTGTGAGTGATACTTGCAAAGTATATGAAGAGGCATGTGTATTTGCATCCGAGAGTGTACCCTAGACTAGGATAGGGGGTTATGGCTCTACTTTATATAAGGCTAGAAGTCCTGAAGTTTTTAAGTATAAAGCTTTCTCCACCAGAAAGAACCTATGAGAATATCCATGAGTGTACCCTAGATTAGGGTGGAAGTCATAGCCTACTTTGTATAAGGTTAGGAAGTCTTAACAGTCCAAGTGTTAAGCATGCTCCGCTAGTGGGGACTCAGCAAACCACCTATATTTATGATACCTGGTTTGAGACAGTGGTTTCCTGGGCTCTATTTTATGTAAGACTGGAAGTCTTGGTTTGAGTTTAGAGCTTGCTTCACTAGAGGAATCAGAAGTGCATGAGCATAATGGGTGATTGAAAACAGGATTGTGTATATGCTCATCTATACTATTTTATTGAAAATAGTGCTACTTTATCTCTTGTTTATAATTTTACTTATTAATCAATATTTGAGATTTATTCAAGTTACTAGTACGTATGTTTTACTTCGTTACTTTTGTAAACAGGTGAAAAGAGTACAGGAAGGCCTAGAAAGAAAGTAAGGAAAGAGTAGCCTTAATTGGTAGTGGTATGACTACCATTGCATATAATGAATGTATAATAGTGTTATAAATGACTGAGTTGTCAATTAGGATGCATACATGTATGTATATGTGCATATGTGGTGGTCTTGTTGAACAACTTGCTTGTGTAAATGATATTGTATCTCGTCGAGTGTATCACAATAGTGAATACATGAGTAGGTCTAAATGCTATCCAAGTAAGTTTATATTATATGTGTAACTTGTTTCATTAGTAATGAATGTAAAATTGTTATGTGAAAATGTGTATTTATATGAAACTTGACTAAATAACGAGACTTAGCTCTATCTGTATGAGTCAAGTATGTTTCATAATTTTAACTATATGGTGAGGCTTAACCTCATATGTAAAAGTCAGAGGTGTGAAAGTGAAATAAGTATGGATATATTTATGTGAATGCATATGATACCTTATAGAAGACCACAAATGTATAATGTAACATTGATAAGTCAAAATATGTATTTGATGTGATATATGTGTTATAGTGTGCTAATTAGGTATATGTAATACTTTTGGACTTGGTTCAAAACCCAAAATGGTTTAACGAGATAAGGGAGGGAATTGACAACTTAGGGTGTCAAATTTTGAAAGAAAAATAACTTTTTACACTCAAATATCCAACTTTAGATTGAGCCATTATATTGTATCCAAATTATATTATATCCAAACTTATTTCATTAGGTAGATTATGTTATAAGTTTTGTGTGGAAGCTTTAGTTATTTCAATCGGATATCAAATGTGAAAATGGCGAGTAATAGAAGTTCATATTAGAATTTTTGCTATGACAGCAAAATCTAATACATGTGCCATGGTGTATGGTTTGTAAACTACAGTGCATGACACAGAATCAAGGCACATTGCTCTGTGCTACATGCCATAGTGCATGTGTTGTAAGCTGCGGCGCATAGCATGTTTCTTAGAAAAATAATTGTTGGTTCCTTGAGTCATGGGAATAGCATTTACATTTCTATTAGCCCTTTTTATTAAACATATTTTTTTTAAGAAGTTGGGATCTTGCATTTCAAAAACAAACTAAAGGGTATGTCTTTAATATTGTATTGTATTGTAAATTAAGGTGTGATGTGTAAGTAAAGCTTGGGATGAGCATTGAGACTTTACATTCGCACCTCCTATAAGGAAGTGCAAATTTGAACTGTTTAGATTTAATTTTTTATTTTTATTTTAAATTTAAATGTATTAAAATTAAAAATTTATAAAAATTATAAAAAGCCAATAACTCTGCTCACTAATTTTGAAAGTCTAGATTTAATATAGATAGTCTAAATTTAATATTAAAATTGTTTAATGAGTTGACTACTCTATTCAGAGCATATCTGTACTGTTCAAAGTACATTTAGATAGTTAATTTAAATTTTAATGTTAAATTTAGACCATTTATATTAAATCTAAATGCCACATTGATGAGCATATTTATTAAATTTTTAAATAATTTTTTAAATTTCATTTTAATAATTATAAATATAAATAAAAAAATAAAAATTAAATTTACACTGTCTAAATTTACACCTCCCATAGCTTCCCTCAACAAAGGGAAGCCAACTCCGAGAGAAAGAAGGGCGGCCATGGTCAAAAATTTGGAAGGTGAAGGAGGATGAGTATAAAATGAGTTGGAAAAGTTGGGTGTGCGAAGTAAGCAGAATTTTAATGAAGCAAACACAAATATATATATATAAAAGGTGGATTCCATATGAGCATGCCACCTAAAAATAATAAAGTCAATCAATGGTCAAATGTTTGGATCTATCAACTCGGGATAAAATTGTATTGTTTTAAAAAATACTGAAGCAACATCATGCTTTTAAATATTTTATAATACCTATTGCGAATCAAAAATTTTTTTAAGATAAATTTGTACTTTAGTCTAAAGAAAAAAAAAAAACACGAGGGAATTTGGGATGATGGTAGTATATCATCTGTCTGCTGCACATTGGAAAAAGGAAAGAAATCTGAAAAGTATTGTGAAGTTGGGTAATAAAGAGGGAGAATATCAGCAAAGAATCCTAGAAGTAATTTAATTTCATAAAAAAACTGCTAATAAGTAAATATTAATAATTAATAAGTGAAGTTTTTGTTTTAACGATTATTCAATTCAATTCATCTAAATTCTTATTAAATATTAAATTATTTTAAAAGTCCTTCATTAAAAATTCGAAACACACTAAAGAAACGTGCGGTAGGTCTAGGTGATGATAATACATGAAACGTGCGGTAGGTCTAGGTGATGATAATACATGACCGGTTGCACTTACACGTACAAAGGTACATGTCTAAGTAATATTATAAAAAAATTCTCTATATTATAAATTCTTGGAAGCCAAAATTTTTTTCGAGAGTCACATTGAAGTTCCATGGTAGAAGGCTAAATACATTGCAGTTCCATAAAATCTGAAAAAAGTACTAAAATCTAATTCCTTAAAAATGTAAATAAATTTTCCAATATAATTACCGAAATGCCCTAGTGCATTAAACAGGAAAAGAGCTAAATGTAATTAGATAACTTTTTCATAAACTGTATGAGAAAGACAAAAAATTAAATTCATTTCAAATGCTGTACTAAATTATTTCTTATAACATGTAATTTAATTCACGACTCGAAAATATTATAAAAATATTAAAATTAAAACTAATAATAAAATATTTGAATAAAAAATAACAATAAAATTACGTAAAATCCATTGATGTGGGCAAAGAAAGACAATAAGACTATTAAATAGATTTTTTTAATATTCTAATAAATAATTTCTAAATTTTTGGCCAAAAAAAATTTCTAAATTGATTTTGAGCAGAATCATAACTATAATTAATTCTATAAGCGTTACGCATCAAGCCAGTAAAGAGAGGAGTAACGTTCATTTCTATCACAGCAAACACGCGCGACTTCTAGCTCCAGGCTCAGCCAATTAAATATTATTAAAAATATAATTTTAAATCTTTATATTTTACTCACATTTTATTATTAATTTTTATACTTTTTTTCACTGTTTTTATTTCTATATTTTTATATTTTACTATTTTAGGCCCTTCTATCAATAAAGTATAAAAACTTTGAAAGGATTTAAAATAATAAAGAATAAACATATAAGGATAAAAAAATATCAAAAAAAGTATAGAGATTAGCAATAAAATATGAACGCTATTCAAGAAGTTAAAGTTATGTTTTTCCAATGTCAATCAACAAAAGAAATTCCACGTATCTCCTCTTGGTGGTGAGTTTTCAAGTCTCATATGGTTCTAGCCTAGATGATATCACAAAAGTTGATATTTATTTAGTATCTATTTGAATTTCAGTTGAATATAATAAATTATGAAAATAATTGATTAAGTAGTAGATTTTAATCATAATTGATTATGTTACAACGCAATTTGTTTGAATATTATTTTTTTAAAATTAATTTTAATAAAATTGAAGATGTTTGAATAATTTATTCATAATCAATTTTAACTGTATAAGTTACTAAAAAGGACATTACTTTTTAAAATTAAATTATTGATAAATTTGTATATAATATTATTAAATTTGTTAAATTTATTTAAAAAGTAAAATATATTATTTAAATTATATATATGATTAATTATAAAATTTTAAATTATACTAATATTAACAAATTTAATTTACATAAATGAATAACTCAATATATCTTAATTCAAATAAATTTAATAAAAGAGAAATATTTAATTTTTAAATACCAAATATCAATTTTATAATAATTAATGAAGATAATGATATACAAGTTGATTTCTAATGACATTACGAATATGAGCAATATCTGACAAAGATGTTAAAAACTGTCTGAAAATTTTGGCAATATAAAAAATATAACAATGTAATAAATGATGCAAAATCTTTTTCTAAACCTTTGCAACAACCTTTATAATGATCTTCAATTTCAAGTTAAATTAATTTTCCTCTATCAACTAATATTTTATTTAAATTAATTTTATAACAAGTACTAAGTGAAGAGTAGTGGTTGACAAAAACTTATGCTATAATTTTTTTGAGAATACAAAATTTAAATTTTATTTAAAAAAATAAAAGAGAAGAGAGTTTATTTTAGTTTTATTAAATTTTGCATGTTTCTTATATTTTTTTGGGCCTTTCTTGTCATTTGCCCGTATTTGTTAGATAATTTGAACGCAGAAGCTGAGTGGATTCTTGTGGAAAAATCGATTAGTGTTTGGATAATTTTGGCAAAAATCGATTTTTGCCCCAAACAATCGATTAAAACGCTATCCAAACACGCACTCAGACATTCCCTCGCTTCAGGTACGTTCAAAATTCCCACAAACGACCCAGCGACCAGCATCGCCTTCGTCATTACATCGCAGCGTTCTCTCACTCACACACTCTCTGTGAGTATCTTCGACTCCATGATATGCTCCTTCGTGAAGCGTGAACTTCGATTTCTCTTCCGATTTCTACTGCGTTTTGTCCTTCGATCCTTTACCAGAGCCATGGGTTGCTTCCTCGGCTGCTTAAGAGCCGAAGACGATGACGATCGCCTCCTCCCTACGTCTCAGCAGCACAAATCCAGGGTAGGGTTTGGAACTTCTCCTTCTTCACTCTCATTTTTCCAAGCATTTTGACGAAACCTTCAGAAATTTGTATTGTTGGAAATGTAGAATTTCCCTTCGTCATTTGTATCTTGTACCGGAGTTTTAAGTACTATTTATGGCTTTTCTTTTCGTTGATCGCGTTGTGGTTCTTTCCTGCTAATATTTTCGCGTTTTGACTCAGCACTATTAGTTTCGTTCTTCTCTGCTTTTCGTTGCTGTACAAGTGAAAATTCTCTTTCCTTCCATTTTATAGTTCTGTTAGATTGATGGAATTTTCTTGATTGCGTTGTGGTTTTAAATACCATTTATGCGTTTGCTTTTCAAAGTTATGAACTGATATGCCTCTCAGTATTTTGGTAAGTTTCTCTCGAGCACACCTTTCATGGCTTAAATTTCGACTAAATTGAGTGCTCACTTAATTAAAGGACTCAATCAAATTACGAGAGATGTCTAATATTTTTTATTTTTGGTGTTTCTGTTTTTACTGTTTGTAAACCAGGGACTTGTGACATCTCAAAATCCCCTATGTTTATTTCTATCTAAAGGTATTCCTGATGACTCACTGTTACCTCTTCCTTTAGGTTATCCTGAATCTTACCACTTTTCTTATATGTTTTTTTTTTTTGGGGATAAAATTTAGCTTTAAAAAGAAAAGAAGCTTCGCTGCGTCTTGATAGGGACAATCTTGGTTTCGGATCTCAGATAGATGACAGGGGGCTCAAGGAAGAGGTACATTGTTATTTATAGTATGAAGCTATATATAATATCTGTTCTATGATTCTTCTTAGATTACAACTCTTACACTTCTAAAGTAGGAGCTTTAATCAAGTGGCTTTAGTTTGTGCTCTCATGGACAAGTCTGAATTACTATGATAAATACCACAGGATAATGATAAATACTCGAACTACAACATGGCCGATTTTGAGAAATCATGCAAGCCACAGACTTCATCATAATCCTCAATCACTCAATGGATAATATTTGTGTTGAATCTTCAGCATCTTCTTACCAAGCTGTTTTGAAATTTCTTATTACTTTTCCACATCAAGAAATGTTTGTGCTTAATAAATTTCCAATTCTCTCCACCATCTTTCCCAATATATTGGGAAATTTTCTGGCGATGACTGAGTTCCATGTTTTTTTTCGGTTATGTCTTGTATGAAGTATGAACTATTCACGCAGGCATTATATGTAATTGCTAATATATGCAGTTTCAGTTATAAAAAAACCTTTGCAAGAGAGTAGCAAATCAAACTAATACTATAATTGCGATATTCAACCAAAAAGAACTATAAGTAGCAAAGAAATAGAGAATTCCCTGGCTTGTGGTTGAAGGAAGTATGGCAAAGAAATAGAAACGGAGTTACAGTAATAATTAACCTTAGCAATATAGTAGCAAACCAACACTAGAGTAGCAACATTCAACCAAGAAGAGCTATAAGTAGCAACAAAATAGAAACACCCCTCAGAAACATTCAACCAAAAAGAGCTATAAGTATCGAAGAATTAGAAACACTCACTTGGCAACATATTAGCCAAAAAGAGCTACTAAAGAAAGCCAGAATACTCTAGGAAAATCTACTCAAGAGTTCTCATTCCATCGCAGAGTTATAACCCCTATCTCTGCTCCTTTAGTGAGAGATGGATCTGCTTGTAATGTTACTTTTCTTCCGCCCCACTTGAAAGTCATGGTCATTGGACTTCCTTGTATTGCATATGAGCCAAGGCTTCTCAACCACTGACCACCCAACACCACGTCTGCAGTTCCTAGCTTAGTGGGAAAGAAACTCTGTTCAATCTCTATGCCTTGTGCTCTGAGAACAACTCTCCTGCTTACTTCTGACCCTTCAGCTTCAGGACCAAACCCAAAGTTTACCCAAAACCTTTCAGTCCTCTCAACTGGTATTTTTAATGCAGTAACCACTTCTTTTGAAATAAAATTGTGAGTAGCTGCTGTGCCAATCAATACGATCACCTCCCTAGAGCCAATCTTCCCAAGAAATTTGAAGCTATGTGGTTTGGTTGCCACAGTCTGATTCATTGGCAATTTTTGACTCTCTCCCATCACACTTTCTTGTTCCTCCTCTTTCTTTATTTCCTCCTTGTCGCACATTTCACCTTCCTCCTCACCAAGTAAGTTCTCATTTGGATCCATAGATCTAGGAGCCATCTCATCAAATGAGTTGGATTTTGAGCGATTCCCATAACTCCTTCTGGGCAGTTTAACCTCCTCCATCATCTCTGAAATCTTGTTTTTATCTTCAATTTCCTGAGCTAACGACATCACACGATTCAAATCCCTTGACCCAATTGATTTCACTACAGCTTTGATATCATCATTTAGCCCATTGACGAACATGCATCTTAACATCTCATCTGGAATGTCTCTAAGGGATGCAGAGAGCAGCTCAAATTGCTCTCTGTAATGTGCTACAGTAGTGAATTGCCTTAAGGATAGAAGCTGTTCATAAGCTAAGTCGCCTTTAGTGGTCTGGAATCTTTCCATGAGTTCCTGTTTGAACATTTCCCAACACTGAATAGGGTTCCTAGCTTCCACCCATAGCAACCAGTTTAGTGCCTTACCCTCCATGTTCAGAGTGGCGCAAGCCACTTTCTCTCTATCCTCAATGCCATAGAGCATGAAATATCTCTCAGCCTTCAAAATCCAGCCACATGGGTCGTCTTCACCAGAAAAAATAGGAAACTCGAGGCGGTGAGCCCCCGGACAGCTTGGCACCATTTTCTCCGCTTGTAGATGCGACTTACCTATCTCTCTCTCTTGTTTTCGAGGAAGTGATTCGAGCATGTGCATTATTAAATCTCTAGCAGCATTTATCCGAAATTCAAGCACTCCGAGCTTCTCATTCAAGCTTGCCATCTCTGTTCTCACTTCACCCGCTTCTTGTTCTAGAATTTCGATCCTAGTACCCATATCGAACTGACCCAACCCTAGGATAGTAACAAATTAACAATGCAATGGAATCTAACTACAGTAGCAGAGCAATGGAAATACCTTTGCGATGTGGTTGAAGGATGGAAGTTCTCAAACTTTTACTTGGATAGCCTCTTACACTCGGCGTCCGGTTCAAGGGAGGAAAGAAAGGTCGCAGGGAAAGTGGCAGAGGAGAGACTCTTCGTCCGTTGTGCGACGTGGTTCTGAAGAAACGACGCTGTTTCTAGCCGTCAAAAGCATTCACACAATTACCACCATCAAAACTTTCTGGTTGTTAATTGAAAAAATAATAATAAATTTTTTAAAATATATAAATAATAATTTAATTTTTTAAAATATAATAATTTTTTTAAAATTTTTAGAGACTTTTTTATCATTAATAAATTTTTATAAATTATTAAATTATTTTTATTAAAGATAAATGATTTATAAGTTTTATTTAAATATTTATAATTTTTTTCTTATATTCTCAACAATGCATTAATAAATCATAACTTTATATATTAATTTTTTATTTGTTGTTACACTGTTATGAATATAAAAAAAAGTTGTAAATATTTAAATAAAACTTATGAATCATTTATTTTTAATAAGAATAATTTAATAATTTATATAAATGTATTAAGCATAAAAAATTTTTAAAAATTTTAAAAAATTATAACATTTTAAAAAATTAAATTATTATTTATATATTTTAAAAAAATTTTATTTTTATTTTTTTATTAATTTGGGCAGCTTGTTAGAAAGCAAAAGTTTGCTTTTATAAAAGTTACTTTTTTAAAAGATGATTATGACAAAAATAAATTCCTACTCATGATAAAAAAAAATCTAGCCCATATCTCGAAATCTTGCCGAATTTCTAGCAATTAATTGGGAAATAAAACTTTCGATAGTTATACTTTATTAAATAGAAAAAGAGAAGATAATATCAGGATAAATTTATTTAGTGAAACTATTTATCAAAAGCATTCTCACGGTCACCGCCGTCAATACTTTTTATTGTTATTGGGATAGCTTTATCAAAAAGCAAAAGTTATTTTTACTGGTAAAATTACTTTTCTAAAGATGATTATGATAAAAGTAAATTTGCGTGAGGGAGGGGGGGGGGGGGAATCCAGTCCATATCTCGAAATCTTGCCGAATTTTTAGCAATTAATTCTATCTCAACAACCTGGAGGAGATGGCTAACCTTGTCAGGTTTGTTTTTTTAAACCTGAAAATATTCAAGACTGGACTACTATTTTGAGGTATAAAATGATAAACTTTAAAATTTTAATATAAAAAAAATTAAATACTACGTATAGTCATACATTAAAAAAACTCTAACCTCATTTGATCATTCTCATTCTTTCTCCCACATCCATCGATTGACTAACTGACCAAGCTGGCCACCTTCCTTTCCTTTACTCTCAACCATTAAAAATTTAATTGATGATACTAGCAAAGTCTACTTGTCATCAGAGTTAATTTTATAATGTTGCTATTTTTGATTAGATTTAAATTTATTGTTGAGTGGATTGATTTAAATTTATTAGATAGACTTAATGTTATGTGTAATAATTTTTTTTAAATTTTAAATATATTTTTTTAGATTTTTAACTTCGGCCCTGAGGGTTAGAATTGAGTTGTGTAAAATAGAACCCTAAAATATAATCAACTTTGAAAGAGTCTGTCCATTTAAGCCCTGGCTCTTCAAGGGCTGACATTAAAAGCAGGCTCCAGCAATAACTAATTAATAAATATTATCTGCAATTAACATGTACTTTTTATATTAATTAATAAAAAAATACTAGTACATACTTTCTACATTTCTAATTATAAAATATTTTTAGATAAAATTTCACATATAAAAAATTTTTATTAAATATTTAACACTTACTTTTTCCTGGCCACAATATATGATATCAGTTACTACTTCAATATTCCAAAAAAATTAGGTAAAACTTTAATCTTTTAAAAAAATTTACTACATCTTTTCAATTATATTCTTATTAAATATCTTATATAAGTACCTTAATAATAATAATAATTGAAATGCTAATGCATCATTTTTGTCAAAAATAAAAAATAAAGTGAGAGTATAGTTGGAAAAAATAATTATAAAAATTACCTAATTCTTTATAGTTTGAATTAAGCAGGATTTTTAGAAGATATTATACATTGTAATTTGGAGGGAGTATATTTTAATGATTTTGGGATATATTTCCTCTTATTTTTATTATACTAGGCTGCTTTCTATAAGAATGTTTTAGTTCTTAATATAAGTTAATTGTTTTATTTTAAATATGCCTCTTTTTGTTTCTAAAATTTTTGGTATCTCAATGACGTAAGTATGTAACTAATTTTTTTTGATGATGTGAGTTTGTTGTATATGACTTATTGTAAAGATAGAATGAGTACTTTATATATATATATATATATATATATAATTTTTGCATGCACATATATTCTTAAACATGTGTGTGTGTGTTTCGGTAAACATATTCTTATATATATTTTAATTTGTGTGTATTTATGTTATGGCTAGAGATGTGTTCAATGATTCATTCACTACATGTTCTATTGTAATAATAATGGTAAAATAAGAAAAAAAAATGGTAAAATAAGTAAAAAAAATGGTAAAATAAGTTATGATATGCTTTGGCTGGGATCAGTGGGTGAAAAATGACATCGTTTTTGGAGACACGCCTACCCTGCGAAGTGTTTTTGGGCGACTTGTTTACTGTTATGTTTCAGTTTCAGTGTTCTTTTTAATAACACTTCAGATTAATTAATTTATATTTATATAAATTATCAAATTAAATTCAATAACTTCAAATAAGTGTTTAAAGAAGCTACTTTTCCAAGAATTCCATGCTTCCATCTTCTTGGCTTCTAATTAATTCTAATTTTGTTGGCCAATTCTTGAGTTTTAATTTATCTGGGCTTTAGTCTTGAGGCCTAAGTGATCTGTTTTTAGACTTGTTAAATTGGATTTGGATTCAGAGTGGCATAAGTATACTTATTTAATAAGTATTTTAGTTACAGCAATTAGACTTCATGAATACTTAAAAATTATCCATATACATTTTTTAAAAAAATTCAAAATAATTCTTATGATTAAAGTATTATTCACATATGCTGTCCTATAAAAAAAATTTAAGATTTGATACTTTCTAAATATTATATAACAAATTATAGTTGTTTGATTAAATTGAACAGTTGTTATCGTGTTATATAAGACACTCATTAAGTAAGTAGACTTAAATCATTCACTGGATCAAAATCCTGCAAGGTTGGGGTCCCAGCATAAGCATAGAAACTAAACTCACTTGGATGTAACCTTGTTGGAATTTTCCTGTAAACTTGTTCTCAAACTTTAATGCAACGAATTTATGATGAATAAACAATAATATCATTGCATATAAAACATTCTTGTGGATTCTGTTTTGTTTATATAATTTGACTTGATTATTGTGCATATAATCATGACACTCTCTCTACAGGTAACGTCTCTGAAAACCAGCGATTCCTCAACGTCTGACAAATTGAAAGTGTTACCTCGTGGTAAAGATTCTGAGTCTTCAACGTTTCATTCTTGCCTTCCCCACAAATCTTTCGAGAAACTTCAGCTGGAGGTTCAATCTTCGATCCCTGCAACTCCAATAAAGTTTTGTGAAGAATGGGAAAACGGCAAGGATTCTTCAGCGCGTACACCTTGCAGGTAATATATATATATATATATATATATTATATATCGTTCTCTTTTGAACTTTTTTTATGCTGATATTGAATAACAATGCACAAATTGCAATGGACAATTCAAATTATCTCAAAACAAAACAAATCTGATTAACATAATTTAATCAAATTAGTTAAATTTAGGTAATGCATACGTGCTTATCAGCTTATGTACTTGGGCCACATTAACCGATCAACGGTGTGCACAACGTAGTCTAATAAACAATTAATATGATTAAATGAGTTTTTAGTCAGTTCTCATTGCAGGCTAAGCTTTCATCTCTTATGACACAATAGAAAAGAAACTTGGTTTTTACTTTTAATGACAGGTTTTTTTATTACTAAGAATCTAAGAAACTGTCTACCTCCTTTACTTAATAGTTAATGCCATGGGATAAGATGAAGTTAACTTTCTTCCTTTGTTTTTTTTTTTTTTGGGTCCTTGATATAAGATGAAGTGAGAGTAATTAATGCTTCTTTCTATTTTTTCATTTTTACCCCTTGTTTATTTATTGTCATTAGAATTCTAGGGCAACAATTTACTATAATTATTAATTACAAAAAAGGATAAAATTGGAAAGTTACATATTATTTTTACAATTTTAAGGTTATAACAATCATTTCTTAATAAACACAAAGTTGAATAACCTCATCTTATATTAAGGACTGGAAGGTGTACAAATGATTTTCTAGAAGTGCATGTGATATGGGATTTCCACCAAATGCTTCTGGTCTATTTCTTTTGGTTTTATTTATCTATCACTTTCAACATTTTTATCAGAATTAAGGAAAACTTAAATCTTGTTAATTTGTCTAAAAATTCAACAAGTTTTCAACTTTACCTCTATTAAATATACATATCTTAAAAATAAAATATTATACCATTTAATAGGAGCGAAAGGATAAAGATTAACACAACAATCATCGAGGCCTATAAATAGGATCAAAACAAATGTTCTTTCTATCCTATAGTAGTAGGACCAGAGGAGTATTTGGGTGTCTGTCTGTGTTTTCTGAAATTACTTTAGACAAATCAGATTTTAATTATAATTTTTTTTTTGCAGTTCTACCGTTGGACACGATACTCAATGTGACTCTCACTGCTCAAAGGATGAAAGAACGAAACAGAACATTCATACTGTACATGGCACTTGTGGCAATGAGGTTGAAATTGATGCAGCGGGGAAAAGCAAGTCATTACGTTTTGAAGAATGCGAGGACGACTTGAGTTCCCGTGGATTTAAACAATCACCTCATCCTACCCCATTAAAAATATCTGATGAGATGCAGACACCTGGGACTGTTTACCCTGCCACATTCAAAAATCAACCAAATGGTCATAAGCCTCGAGTTATTATCAGCTCCCAGATTTTGTATTCGGATAACCATCTGGCTAAGAGCATCTCTCAGTGCGAGATACTTGAAGAAGAAGAAGAAATTGTTCACCTTGATCAAGACTCAGGTGAGCTGAGTAGTTATAAAAATGGGTTAAAGGAAGTTTCTTATGAAAATGAATGCAAGGTAGAAGGAAGCTTATCAGTTATTAAGGAGGAGAGACACAGTGGGAAGGAGACTTCACATGATCAGATTCCAAACTTATGCAAAAGTCCTACAGAGAGACCTGTCCTTGGGATAGTTGCTGCTCGCTGGAATGAAGATGAGAAGCTTCAGATTCCATCCCCAGAGTCTTGGTATGACAATGGCATACCAAATACAACGAATAAGTACAAGGAAGTATGACTTTTCCTGTTTATTTCTTTTAAAAAGTTCAAAATCTAGATTCTGCGTTTGAGAAGTACCGATTTGGTTTCAGGATCAGAAAGTGAACTGGCATGCAACACCATTTGAAGAGAGGTTGGAGAAGGCATTGTCTGACAAGAGTTTTATCTCTCAAAGGTATCCCTTGTTAACAGTTTTTCTTTTCCCAGGATTGGTCAAAGGAACCAATTTAAATAAACATGGTACTGCTTCTCTTGTTCATGCTACTGATCTTCTAATTAAATATACTTTGCCTTTTTCGTTGAAGGGGTTTGGTTAACAATATTTCTGAAGATTTGGTTGTTGATAGAGTACAAAAGCGTTATGCAATCATGTAGCCAATAACATTTAATGGGATAAGGCTTCTTGTTATTAGCTTTTTCACCTAAGGATTTCAACTTTTTTGGAGTTGGGTAGAGATTATAGGAAAACTAGTCATCTAATTCTAACTCTAAATAAAAGCTAATGAATAGTTATACTCATCAATTCTCGGAGCTTTTATGAACAAATGGTTTAGTATGAATCATTCTACAATTCTGTTGATGAAAATTCAATTTTCATATTTCACCAAAAACATACATTTCTGTACAAGGTTTAGTGAGCTTGTACTTCCTCTACATTGGAAGCCTGCTCATTTTTTGTTCGAATAGAGTATCAGAGATCATAATTAAAGTATTCGGGTACTTTCGCCTAATAGATGAGTAACTTAAGCTCATGAATTGAAATGATTCTTGATATGATAGTTACTTGCTGTCAATTTTAATTTTTTAGTCCTCCTGGTGAACGTTCGATTTAAAATGTGATTCTTATAATTTGTTATTCGATATTCACAGGAACCATGTATGTGGAAAACCAAATACCTTTGAGAACGAAGATACTGAGATATTTCAGCTGCAACCTTCAACTCCTCCAAATCTGTAGTCTCTTAATCTCGTTCTGAAAATTGTTGTAAATCATCTTCCCATTAAAGGTGGCACATATACATCTTTCACGACGATATTTCAAAGGTAATATACGTTGCACACAGTGGGTGTGTTTGATTTTCCGCGAGATAAAATTGATTATGAACAATTGATTATCAAACGAAGTTTCAAAATATTTGATTTTCAAATGAAATTTTAAACAGCCTCTTTCATAATAGAGTTTCAAAGCCAAAGCGGAATTTATGAAAAAAAAAAAGTGTTTGGATGGTTGTTTTTTTTTTTTTCAAAATGGAATTTCAATGACCAATTTCATTTTTACCTTTGTTTATTTGTTATGATTTGAATTTCTAGACATTAATTTAATATGGTTATCGATTGTAAAGAACAATAAAATTTGAAAGTTAAGTATTTTTTTTTCAATTTTAAATATATAATTAATATTTTTTTCGTTCAAAAATGTAAGATATTTTTAAATGAATTTTACCTCCTAATAAAATAATTACCTATTTTTCAACTAATTTTATTTTTCTATATTTATCCCTATTAAACACTCTACAATAAATATAAAGTCATTATTAATAGGGGCACTTTTGAAAAAAAAAAGTAATAATTACACTTTGAAAGACTAAAAATATCTTATATTTTTTAACATTTAACCTCTCAAAAAATATCTTATATTTTTAAACGGAGGGAATATTTTTTAATAAATGCAAAGTTAATTAACTTCATTTTATATTTAAGGGTGAAAAGGAGTACTTGACTGAACTGGCCTCATGGAACCTTTTTTTTTTTTTTTGGGAGATTGTGAGATTTCAATTTCAGTATGAATGTATGTGAATTTTTTCTATTTTAATATTTTTGGTCATTTTATTATTTTTTGTAAAATAGAAAATATTATTTTCCTTTTAAAAGATAAATTTTACTGAAATTTACAAATATCAATTTCAGAAGATTTAAACCGTGAATATATATGCTGCAATACCATATAGTATTATAAGGAGAAAGGTAACATATTTATGGCCGGTCGGCCGCCCATGCGCGTGTCTATCTCTTTTATGGTATTGTGTCCAGATATGCTGCAGAAATTATTAAGTGGCTGTGTTGACAACGGAACTTTGAGGTTAGAATTTAATGAGATTTATTTTTTCTAAAAACTAGTTGCTATATAGGTGCATTGCAATAGTGATACATTTTTTTAATAAATTAGGCAGGCATTCACGAATAAGCCATCCTATTATATTTAGTAGTTGAACAAGTTGTTTAAAAAAATTATATTTAACATTAATAATATTGAGTTTTGTTGAAACGCACTTGATAAATGCTAACGAAGTCGATAGCAAATGATGAGCCTAGAATAGAACGACTAATAAGAAATAATCTTATTCTCAAGATCCAAAAGCTTAAGATCGAGAAGGATGAGAGCTCTTTTGATAATTAATTGTTAACCCAGTAATTTAGATTATATACGAGATAAGAGTTTAATTTCTTTTTTTGGGCTAATAATAATTAGCCCTCTCTATAAATTACATAAAAGTTTGACAAAAAACATTTTTTATAAATTTTACATGTGATAATGTTTTTTATATGACTATATAGTTTATGAGTCAATCAAATTCAAGCATTGTCGGGTTTAATTTGATATATATTTTGTTAAAGGTATTTTCTACACTTGACTTCAACTTTAAAATCTCTTGCTTAAAGTATTATTGTCTCTTTCACTAGTACAAGACAATATATTTGTTTTTGAAATTCAAATTAAATATACTTTTTCTAATATTTTGAAATTATATAAAGATACTTTTTATTGTTGGACATTAGTACAAATTATCTCTTAACTTTATTTAGGTTATAATTTTTTTTTTCAAAATTTATAGATAATTTTACTGCAGTAAAAAATAAATTTGTGTAAATCTTTGTAAAATCACAACATTTTCTTAAAATACTGCCCCTAAAATTTTCTATAGAGCTCCCACCTAAAAAGATTTCAAACAGGCAAATTCAAAATATCAGGTCATTCGCTCCGTAAATTTTGGCACCATAAAATTTTTTTTTAACTCTGTATTTACCTTCTCTCTTTGATAATTTTGCAATGCTCTAGTTTTATAACCCTTTCCTGTACGTTATGCTCATTTTAACTTTTGACTTAATATAAAAAAAATTAAGATATCAGGTGTTATTTTTCTTTAGACAAAAATATCTGGTGTTATTTAAAAAAATAAAAGAATTACAATCAGGTCCAAGATAAAAAAAATTATTGTAAAATATATTAATAATTAAATTAAATTACATTAACAATTGATTGTATAGTTAATATAATTTAATTTAATTATTAATAAATTTTATAATAATTAATTTTTTGTGTGAAATTTTAATGAAGTTCACTTACAAAAAATTCTATCTCAACCAGCCGGCGCAGGATGCCCCAAATAAAGAAGCAACAAAAACAAAAAGCCGGTTTGGGTGGTCCCAAAAGATTTTTTTTTTTTTTTAAAATAAGAAAGGGGAAAACCAAGAAGAATAAAACGGTTCTGGTTACGTGCCTGTACTACCACAACACTACATAAGAGCACCTAAGTGCAGAGAGGCCGAATGAAGACCAAACATTGAGATTAATAATCAAACTACTAGTCTCGCTTGCTGATCGGAAGTCGCCGATAGAAGAAGAAGAAGATGGTAGTGAAGGTGTACGGCCCAAACTACGCTTCCCCAAAAAGGGTGGTTATGTGTCTGATGGAGAAGCAGATTGATTTTGAAGCTGTGCTTCTCGACATCTTCGAAGGAGAGCACAAGGATCCTGATTTCCTCAAATTGCAGGTCCTAATATTCTCTTCCTTCTTTCTTTCAATTTGCCCCTTGCTGTCTCTATTATTCAATAGTGTTCTTGTTTCCCCTTTGTGATTGTTCTTAGTTTGTTTCTCATAAATTTGCAGCCATTTGGACTGCTTCCTGCTGTTCAAGATGGAGATTATACTCTTTACGGTTAGTCTTAAACTTTCTTTTTCTTTTACCCTACTATTATGCCGTTTAATTACTTCGGAATTGCAAGTAAATTTTGAATTGAAATGGTCACTCCATATGTAATTTCTATTTCCAGTGGAACAAAACACGCTGATCAATTCAGGAATCTCTTGTTTGTCAAGTTCAAGGATGGAATATTGATAAAAACTCATTAATGAAGTGACCAGCTTGATCTTATCCCAGACACAAGGTGTTGAAATATTAGACTGGCGTGTTTGTTGATAAAAAAGTTTGTTATTAATCACGAAGTTAATTATACCATGAGCTTATATGAAGGCTCTAAGAGTGTTACTGCCTCTGAACCACAACATAAGTCATTTTCTTGTGCCACTTAGCAGGATAAAATATGATTTACCCCATTTGGTAGGATAAGGCTTGTTGTTATTATATATAGCCATGTGACTTCTTGTGCTACTTGATAATCTGACTGTACCCATACTGCTACATTGTTCTGAACTCAATTCTGCAGAATCCAGAGCCATAATCAGGTACTATGCAGAGAAGTACAAATCCCAGGGGACTGACTTGCTGGGGAAGACAATAGAAGAAAGGGGACTTGTGGAACAATGGTTGGAAGTGGAATCCCAGAACTTCAATCCACCAGCCTACAACATGATCCTTCATGTTCTGTTTGCCCCACTATTGGGAATCAATTCAGACCCAAAAGTGATTGAAGAGAGTGAAGAGAAGCTTGGGAAGGTTCTGGACATTTATGAGGAGAGGCTGTCAAAGAGCAAGTACTTGGCTGGGGATTTCTTCAGCCTTGCTGATCTTAGCCACCTTCCTTATGCCCATTTTGTGGCTAACCAGATGGGGAAAGAGTATTTGATAAGAGACAGGAAGCATGTGAGTGCTTGGTGGGATGATATTAGCAGCAGGCCATCTTGGAAGAAGGTCCTTGAACTCTACCCTTACCCTAACTTTTCCAAGTAGTAAAGAGTATAAATATATGTAGCTACTTATTGAGAATGAGAAATTCTTAATCCATATAATAATGTTCCAGTTGTTCATATCAGAAGCCATTGAGAAATTTTTATTTTAAGTGTCAGCATGGATCTTTCATGGTTTGTTTTGTTAAAGGGAAATGGAAGGGAAGGGAGATTTTAATGAGTTCCTGGGAAAAAATGCTCTCAGCGACTGCTGGAGAGTAACAGAAATGAGAATCATGATTGATTTTTCATCTAATTAGAGATACATTTTAATTACAAAAAATAACAGTAAATCACAGGAAAAATAGAAGAGGGAAATGAGAATTATGATTGATTTTCTCTAATATCATATACAGCCTATGAACTTATAAAATATTAAAAATAATAATTTTATGAGAGAATGACAAATAGATCCCATCAAAATAAATAAATGATAAATAAGTACCACAAAATGTAATAAGAACTTTTAAGTCTCTAGAGACTTATTTGACATAATTTTTTTTCAAAATTATATTTTTGATGCTAAGAAAAATAATAAAAAAGCATAATTTTTAATATTTAAACTAAAGTTATTAATAAATTGTTAATATAGAAAGTGTAGTTGTTAAATTAGTTACGTAATAACAAATATATTTTTTATATTAACAATTTCAGTTTAAACATTAAAAACATAGTTAAACTTCAATTTAGTTATGCAATAACAACTATAATTTTTATACTAACAACTTTACCTTTATTATTAACAACAGTTTTATTATTTCGTAGAAGTTCGGAAACGTAATTTTGCAAATAAAAGACAAGACTCAAGGAACTTCAGATTAATTATCTAATTTTATGGTACTATTTTATCATTTGGCTATTTTGATGGGATTTATTTGTTAGTTTCCCATTCATATTTATTTTATTTTTATATACGAATATTTATTGAAATTTAATTATAATTTAATTAATTTTAGGTTTTCATCTTTACTTATTTAAATTATATTATCTAATCACATTTATTATTTAATTACTTAATACTTAATTCTTCTTAAAAATAATTACAAATAATTTAAGAGAAATATACGAACTGGAAAGAATTATAATTTGCATTATTTCAAGAAATATTTGAATACGTTTTTTAAAATAAAAATTATAAAGAAAAAATTAATTATTTGATTCCTACACTTTTC